TCCAACAGTGTTCACCTCGAAGAGAAAATGTCAAAACCATATGGCATCAGAAGCTCTCTCGAGTAAATGACGTCAATAGTCTATCAGAACTGAATGAAAGCCTCAACAAATAAGAACTCCACCGGCAGTTGAGACAGTTGTGCTTTCAATGTCACAAGTGTCTCCTGGAATCTCTCTGATCTTGCTATGTGGCTCTAGCCTACAAGGTAGGTTGGACTGACCTTGTTGTCAATCATTCCTGTCAGAGCCATTGCAACATCACCCTTCGTCAAGCGCTAGGTCCAGTGCCTAGCTAGGCAGCAGTAGCGAGAATGCAGCAGCGGTAGCTCTGTAGATCTATTGCAGGCGATTATATTCCAAGCTCCATAAGTGCAGTCGTGAGCTTGTTGTTCAGCTGACAGCATCCCTTTTGCAAGCGCCAAATGATGAAATTCCCTATATCCACCTTTCTTGGAGTCAGCTCGAGGTGCACATGAGATTGATGATTTTTCGTGAGGTAGTTGACCCGAAAGATCAAGTTCCCAAGACCATGTGCCAGCACGATCTTCTGAACCTTCGTCCGGAGTTATCTCAGACTGAATCATTGTCACTTATTCACTCGGCTTCGGTCCCTCTGCACGCTCAAACTTTGGGGATAAGGATAATATTCGGCAACTCAAAATTTGGGAGGGAATTGCCTTCGCAGCGGAAGGTCCTTAAAATACACATTTCTTTCTGTGTCTCCTGGAAGTTGGTCAGTCGTTCAGGTACCTCGAGACATCTGGCCATGCATCCGGGTCTATGAACTTCGTGGAAGGACTTCCAGCCTGACGCTGTTTGCTGCAAGTTTTACTTTCGAGCTCGTTCGCAGCTGGGACACAAACTTGATTATATGTCATTCTTCTCCTCTCCTGCGACCTAAATTGGGATATTGAGCAAGCTACACTAGAAGACACGCTGACCTCAGCTTTTAGCTGCCAATCTGCTGTTGGAAACACTTGAAAAGACCTTCAGGTGCGTAAGCTAACGAAGCCAGGCTCCGAAAGGTCGTCTCCTGAGTATGGTTCAGCATATTGATTGCACATGACATGAAGTCAATTGTAAGACATCGAGCCTGGTGATTGAAAGACCTCTTCAGAACACGAAAGAACTTGCCTAGTAGTTGAACTGCTCACAGATTTGAAGAAGCACACAGTGTTCTTCAGCACTAGTGCTTATTATTCTCGCGCATACTGTATGCCTTGCGTGTTCAGCCTAGACCTCGTCAGGAAGCCATGTGAGAGAACTGCCCCACTTAGATTCACCCCAGTGAAACTTGGTCAGATGCCCCGAGATAAGGTTAAAATTGAAGTCTAAGAGTTGGTCCATCCACGGCCGTCAGGATCTCCATGCTGCTTGGATGGGCTAGAAATTGTGTACCCCATAACCACGAACTATCTCGATCGGTGTGACATAAAACGTCCATAATGGGTCGTTTTAGTTGGGCTGAAAAGAGGCTGAGCAAAGTTTGCAACATTGCAACTCAACTATTTCGCAATTGATTTCATCCAGTGAGGTAAAGCTGGAAGGCATCCGTCAAGTCCGATCCGGTGAGAAGCTAGTGTTGTGGCCATGGATACCGGGAAAATGTTGCGATAGTAGAGTAGAGGTTTCAGTCGGACGTTTGAGCCACTGCTTATCAGGATTAAAGGAGCTGATGTGATATTTATCAGTCTAACCTGCGCTTAGGTAGAAACTTTAACTTCGATTTTACTCGCGGGAAAGAATATTTCTCTCTCCAAATTTCCGATGCCAGAGACGCTGGCGTTACCACATGAATATTCTTGCGCCTGGGGTTAATAATTGAATGATATAATGACGCAGTGGGTGCGTCCTGGGCTGCAGTTTGTCACGTTTACTTACCAGTGTGCATATGTGCCGCTAGTAGTTGGGGTTCTATTCCCTCCCAATCAAGGCTTGAAGTCCCCATCACATCTGGAATGTTGCAGGCACTAGAGCAACAAGTGGTACAAGACCTATCTATAGCTTTTGCAGAGAAATGAGTCCTTCTGAATCTCCAGATATTCGTGGATTTCCTTCCATGCACAGACGTAGCCGTCTTTTTCCTGATAGCAGTTCAACAGATTTACTGACTTGTTTCTGCTTGAAGGTTCTGCCAGTCTTTAAGATATGATTAAAGTGGCTTTCAAATGTCTATTGTTTATCTTTCCATTTATGGAAGATTGGAGGAACATTAACGTTTTTCCTGAACACGATTGGATGAATTGCAATCCGCTGGAGAAATATTGTTAATTTGCGGTGGATTCCTCTGAACCTCGATGTCCATACTTTCCCTTTGAAACGCCACTGCCGTCACCTGTTGTGATGACATTTATCTGGTCACCGCAGTTGTCTTGTTGTCTACAGCTTCTTGATTGATGATTTACAATCATATGGTATATGAGACTGTCTGACTTCTTCACTTCCGTATTCCAGCTCCAGTCCTCTTTTTTCCTTTCCTCTTCGGTCGGTTATTTCTGCCTGACTCTTCGACTGCCAGTCAATCAATCAGTCAATCGCTGACTGCCATGCAAATTGTGAAAGGTCCACATCTGTCAAATATTTCTGATCGTTATCACCATGATTGCTTCTCGTGTACAGCACGTCTCAGAATGTGTGCTCCAATGTTATTCCAGCACAGGGCATGCATACAGTCAAATGGATGAGATATGTATGGTATAGCTTATCTGATGTCGAGGAACAAGATCTCCAACGTTTCCTTCGAAAGGTTCTTATTATATAAATTTTCCTTTTGAATGCAGATTTTGATTCATAGCTTTTACAGGGCCTCGGATAAAAGAACTCAAAAGCTACAGAGCCTAAAAGATTTGTCTTTAGTATGCGACAGTGTGCCAGACATAAGTGGATTCCTGAGGTCGAACCTATTGTTCATGACCTCTCTATTTGCCATTGCAACGGCTAATCGTCAGTCACCAGTTCACGAGATCCTTCAAAAGATCACTCGTTAGCCCACTACAGAGAATCTGGATTCATCGGTAGATTTTATATCTGATACAGAAAATTCAAACAATCATTGACGCTTCATTCCATATAGCAAGTTCAGTTTTGCGTTGTGAGAGATACGTATACTGCCGACAAAGTATACTGACAAGCTCATTCGGTTGATATGACTTAAGTAGTGAACAAATTACTAACTAATTCGATATAAACCACAATTGTTCAGCATCTTTTTCGCATAGGCACAATGATTCTACGCTGTCTACAGAATGGTCATAACGAGAACATTACATTCAAAAAATCTTGTGAAGGCTGCACTTTAATCTAAATAGGATGTTTTCTATTCCATTACTTTCACAAACATAAGCCTAACCTAGAGAATCCAGTGCAGTAAGATTGATTCAGCTACATACTTTTGAGAAGCGTATGGGTGTCAGAAACTCAAGACTTTTCTCAAAAGCATATAGAGAATCGAGTAGGGAGAGATGAGATGCATCCGAGGCTTTCAACATCTTACGCTGAGAAGGTATATTGTTGAGATCTGATAAGCAGAAGCTTGGTTCCAATCAGTCTGAACAGAGATGGTGCAGCTACTTTCAAAGTGGACTAGTACAATTCTCATATTCATCCATGTGGTGATTATCACAGAGTTCGACAAACCTTGTGATAGTCATTATAACACCTCTGAAGGAAAATTTTAACGCAAATGGCTAAATATCATCGATATGTTTTAGCACTGGATGTTCTGTGACTTGATATATTCTCAATCCAACTCGAGGCCTGCTAATTCACATGTCTAAGTGCCTTGCCGACGGCCTGAAACTTTATATAATACCAACAGAAAGTAAAAAAATTGTTTCTGGTACAGTACGCTCAAGTTGCAATCGATCCTCTGTTCACTATTTTAAATAACATATGATTCACTTCTGAGAGGTTGGATTCATCCTGCTGAATGGCCCTATTCTGCAATGACGATTGAGACGGCTATTGTTGCAGTTGGATCGAGTAAAGTAGAACGCAAAAGCAACAGCTAGAAGATGACTCACAGTATAGGTACGAGTACCAGTTTTGAAGGAAAACTGAGACAGATATTTTTCTAGTGAATCAAATGCCTTGATGTTCACTATAATGTGTGTTGCTGCTATCAGCCGAAATTGTGATACTTGAGAATCAGTGTACCTTGATTAGAGTCAATTGGTCAAGCCTTAGGTTCTGTGCATAATCGTCTTATATTGCATTCCATGGCGGATATTACTCTGCTCACACTTCGGCCTTCGATTATGCCGTAAAAAGTTCTGACTTCGGTGTATGTGTGGAATTTGTATTGGTTTCGGTTGAAAGTAAACACAGTGACATCTAGATCTGCCTTCCAACATTGAGTTTTGCATTTACATGGTTGAAACGGTATCACAGTCTCTAGATTAGATCATAAATTGAAGGTTACAAAGCTTGCAGATAATTGAGTACATGATCAGCACTCGAGAAAGAAACTATCAAGGTTATTTTTTTAGTTATGTACGGATTTGTACTTGAGATATATGACTTGTTGACCGTAAGACAAAATGTTAGCTACACTTTGTTTGTGGGGACTGTGCTATCAGCTGTGTTACATACTAGCTATCCCTCCGCTACTTTTCTTATGTCAGGTGACTCGCTGCATTGATCTTATACATGGAAGTGCAAGCAAAGCCCAGGTTCAATCAGGTCACCGCCGCGGTTGAATGCAATGCTGCAAGTTGTTTTATACTGAAATTCTCCGAAAGCTAAGCATTGCCGTGATAAGCACTTATTTTATTTCCAACCTGCATGCTCGTTGAACAGAATAAAAATGGTCAGTTCCCAGTTTCTATCAAACCCATATTGGCCATAGATAAAGTGTCTTAAGCTGCTAATTAAGCTACTCATATACTGGGATAGTCTGTCGAGCTGTCTCCGGTTAAAGATATACTAAACAAACCCAGAATCCTTCAAAGTGGTAAAGGATATTCTCCTCAACAACTTAAAAACTGGTGGGGGGTCTTACACATCTGCTCCGGTCAACGCAGCTCACGCTGTACTGAGGACGTGGAACTCTTAATGATTCCATGACCAAAACTTCGTGCGTAGTAATTACAGAAACTCACAATCTGCATGTGGATGTGCCTGATCAGGAAGGGGCTTTAGTAAAAATTAACTACGTCGATTAATTATGCATCTCTTAGTGAAGTTAAAGGGCAAAAAATATTCGATACCACAGGAGATATAGGTATTTGACACGACTTTCTTTTGATGTTGTGTTGCATGTACCTGAGCTCAGATTGGTACAAAACCCGAAGCAGCAAACTGTACGCAAAGCTCGTAGGAAATACGTCTGTTATTACACGTAAAATATATATATATATATATATATATAAATAATTGCAATAAAATCCATGCCATTACAGTCACCAGAAATCTTCGACTACACAAATAGCTCCTCTTTGCGAGCAACGATGGAGCACTTGAGAACTTTGAAGAATCCGCAATATACGTTCTAGCGCATGTGTGCCGTCTATTGAAGGTCTGGCATGCTTCTTCGTAAACAACTATCGCTCTCTACCACGTCTATCGAGTTGGATGAAATAAAACAACCATTCAAAATCGATCAAATTTTTCCCTCACTGAAACCCTGGTTGAACGTTCCAACGTTCCACTTTTGCCATCTAGATTAGATCGAAGAACATGAAGAAGAATTGCGTTAACAGGCGATGTAGGTCGCGAGAAGATTTTACTATGTTTTGACCCGTATAATGTACCGATACTATGTACGGAGTAGTAGCCAAAAACTGCTTCACAGGCTCGGAACTACCGAAGTAGATGGCTTTAACACTGAAGTATGAAGGACGGACCCTAAGACATCTGAGAACCCGGATATCATGTCCGAGGTGCATTAGACCTCACACATGAACGCATACACCTTAGAATGATCCTACTGCATGTATACAGGTAACATACGCATGTCCAAAAAATATATTTCCGGGCCAGACGAGTTAAAAGATACTTTAGCTTATCATGTATGCACTCGAGTGTACCACCCATGTTACGACAGACTGTACTGGAAAATCCTTAGTGAGAAAAGTTAGCATTTGGAGCTAAGATTCTTTGACCTTAGTGATTATGAATATACTTCCCTTTGTGGTAATAGAGCCGAAAGAGTGAATGATCTTGTCATCTGGATCCAAGACCTGAGAATGTATATTCTTTATAATGTGGTACAGGAGGACCAAGTATACTCACCTTTCTCATCTCCGTTCCAGGTCGAGGACTGCACTGCCGTAAGAAACGCAGGTGAATGGCGCAACGTTACTACAGTCGAACCTCGAAGGGTCAAACTAGTCTGCGTTCTCGAAGAATTGAGGATGGTTCGGTTAAGTGGTTAGCTGCACAAATGGGGACAGCGAGAATGTTCTGGGAAAAAAATTTAGTATTTCGTTTACACGAGAGATTATAATTTTCTGTGACACATAATTTTGACCTCAATTCGAATACCTCTATCGCCGAGCTTGACAATTGTGCAAATCCAGCCTTGATGAGTTCTGGATGGATACGACATCTCATAGGTTGAACATTTCGCGTTTCGGATGAAGATGCCCATAGGATCGTAAGCTGGTAGAGTGAAGATGTTGAGAAACTCACCTTCCAGCTCTTGGGTATGATGTTGCCCTTGTACCCGAAGGGAGTGGTGGCCTTCTATTAAAGTCCGGGTGAGGTAGGGAACGGCCTGAAACTTTCTGGCGCCACTCGCCTTGCGTATGTGTCCTCACTTCGTCGAGTGTAAGTGCCTCCCCATCTTCTTTCTGCGGCAATTCTGGAAAAATGTGAAAGAAATTCACCGCCGCATCGTGTCAATCACCCTGTAGTCTATCTGATGAATCTATCTAACCTTCCAAAGGCTGAGAAAATTTTTGAAACCAACTGGACGAGCTAGTTCTATATCCATTGAAGCCGCTGCTTCAAATCTTCAGGATTGACCACCAGTGTAGTCAGTGAAATTCTAGCCACTATGAGAAGAATCACCCACAGAACAAGATGTGTCGAATAAGAGCTACATGTTTGGAAATGAAATATACGATGCAGACTCTAAGGTATGACAACAAAAGGCACAGACAAAATCTACCACAAGTTAAATTTCGTCGTAAGGTGCGGAGTAGTCCTCGATCATTTGGTCACACTCGGTTGGTTTCTTGGCTATCAGACGAAACAAGATTCTCAAAACAGAGGAAAGCGTATCATCGCCCGTATGGACAACAAGATCAAAGTTTCTTTGGCTTTCGGCATGTGTGTATGCGTGACCGAGATTATCCGGAACTGTGAGCTGAACCGACCAATACTCCTGCAGCTGGTTCTGTGAGCGCCTCCTTTATGAAAGAGACATTCTCCAGTGGAAGAGAAATTCTAGGATATTCAGAATGGTACGTCTTGTCTCCCAAGATTTGTAAGACTTGAACTCAGGAAGGTTGCTGGGCAACGCTACCCTGCAAACCCTTCGCCCAGGTATCGAAGGCGGCTCTCAACATATTCGCCTCGGACCCTGCACCCTGAATACTCGAGCATAAAGCAGCTATAAGACTGAATGTGAAGAGGTGAAAGCCTTTCTCCAAAGCAACTTCGGCGCGTCTTCCAACAAATTCCGTAATCCTTCGTGTGTTTCACGGCTCTCTCCTCTATAGTTGGAAGTTGCCGACGAGCAATTTTGTTTCCTGAGAATTCATTCAACATATGCCCCCGGGGAGCCATGTACACGACACCCGTAGCTGCAGATGCACTTTTGGGACCCAATAGCCTTAGAGTACTTTGGGTCCAGTAACCATTGATCAGCTTTTTATTGTTGCTGATTTTGAAGAGCAGCTCGTTACCGCTGGGCAAAATTGAGGGACACCCTCTTCCTGTCCCATGATTTGGCCTTGAAGATGAGTCCACACGTGTCGGACCAAGACTACTAATTAAAAGTGCTGTTGAAGTAGGCATCGACTTATTTCCAGGTCTCTCCAGAACACGGCAATGAATAATCTCTTAGAGACATTGGCGTCTCTTCGGATTCTTCCCCGACATCCATGCCCAGGCAACTCCCACTCTGATCCCCGTGGCGAACAGCGCTGCTGCCTGGCCGTACAAGGTCCATAGATTCAGAACTCTGAATCTGAGCCCGCAGTTTGTAAATTAAGCTCGTAGTCCATCCCAACCTCACGAATTTGCAAAGCTGCTTCCCATGATCAGCTTGTTCCTGGATCACGATATGTCTAAAGCAAGCCCAGAACTGACCCAATGCCCGACATTTGCTCAGCCTTGTTTAGCGAAGGTCGTGAAGCTTCGAATACACCCTCGGAGCCTCGGGTGCTCCATTCTTGGCCGAAGCCAAAGAAATGGCTTCTTCTGGAGAAGATCTTGGAAGGAATTATTAAGTGAAAAATCAAATGGGAGGACCCCATCAAGCGGTGGATGATAACGAAAGCCTAACATGGGGCTAGGCCCCAATTATACCCACAGAAGTCCGACAGTCTACATTCTAATAAGCAATGGTAACACACTAAAACCGAAGGGACAGTGACGCTCAGACGCGACGTATCCATGCGAATTTACAGTGACCTCAGATCTGCTTGTCACCTGCGGACCCGCTTTCGACGGACACTACAGCTGAAGCGTCGCGCGTCGCCAGTCGCCAGGTGCTTGCTCAGAGTTGAGAAGGTCTGGACCTCGAGGTCCGTGAGGACTTTGACTGCTGCGATCAAACATGAAGACCTCGACGTGCTTCACCGCTGGGAGACATGGGATCACGTCGACGACTGAGAGAGCGGAGAGCGAGAGAGGACGGCGTGAAGCGACGTGCCCCGCTGCATGCATTTTGGGAAGTACAGTACTTCGAGCCAGATCACGACAGAATGACAGGGCTCGCGCCAGTCGTAGGTCAGTAGTGCGGGAGAACGGCTTAAATGATCAATACTGTACTTACAGTAGATTTGCTGTACAGCAGTCGAATAGAAGATTAAAATATGGAAATTCCGTAGGCCTAAACATTTGCGCTCGATGAACTAGCTCGAATTTTCATGGTGCTGGTACGTATGGCGTATTCCTGACATCTGTCTACCTGTTATCATAAATGGACGTTGCCGTTGTGTGAAACAAAGTACACGATCCGGCTGTCGCCGTTTTAATATGGTGAGTTTAGATATCTGCCACTCTACGTCACTAGATTTGGTCCCGTTTCAATCTGCTTGTCTAGGTCATGCAATTAGTCTGACCCAGCTGCTTCCTCTTGTCTAAGAGTCTAATTGAAAGGTTCCGCTAAGTTATCCAGCTGCTCTTGATTATTGTGGCCACCTCTTAGCTCTGAATTAAATGTGGGAACAATTTACTTTGAACAAAGAATGTTCATCGGAAACCTTCTCCACAGGGTTGAAAAGGTCGGTGACACTTTAATATGAACATAGAATTGGCCTGGAAAAAGCTCTTGGAAAGTGATTACTCAAGCAAAAGGAGGGCCTAGTAAATAAATAATAAAAAAATGGAAGAAACCTGAAAGCACAACCTTGACCACAGCAGTATCACAAAAGGGAATCATTGCACTAGAAAATGGAAATTTCTTCCGCTTTTTTGGAACCTGAATGGAATATCCTCATGGAAATTCTTATCACACCAGGTGACCTTAACAAGAACGAGACAATCACAATGTTTACAAAATCATATAATAAAATTGAACATACAAATGTAATGTTAAAATATACAATAGACAACCATACCTGAAATTTAGTGTATGAGTGAAAAGTTTGTGATGACAATTTCTTACTGTATAAATTTATAGATATTTGTACTCTTATTTTCCAAGAAGAAAAATTGAGTGTGATTGTAGTTTTTTTAAATCAATTTATTTTACTATCTAATTATCAATCATACATATTGTATTTAGGGTATTCACACTTGATACTTCAAAAAAATTATTGTGACGTTTGGTTTAGTATTTGTAAATAAAAACTTAGTTGTCAGTTTTAAACTTCAATCAGTTGTCATCGAAAGTAATCATTAAATTTTAAGTTGATGAATTTTTCCATATATTGAAGTATATCAATCCATCTCTACAGTTTTCTAAAGATTGAGGGAAATAAACTTAATAGCAATAAAAGGATTTATTTCATTTGATAATCTAAGCAGAAAACTGTTGATTGTAATTATTGAATTTTTTTGTCAACACTTCAGATTTAATAAATTCAATCATACTTATCTCAATTTAAAATATCTTTTTATCTTCTGTTCGAAGTCATTTCAATTATTGAATTTTAAATAAAACTTTCTGAAAGTAGAAATGTGATGTATGTGAAAAAAATTAGATGTCTAATTAGTATAGCCAAAAGAAGATTAATTTTCTAATCAGTGAAACCGAAGGCTTGACATGCATATCAATCCAAATACATGATTCATTCATCTTTACTAGATACACACAAGTAAACGGCATATTCATAGTCCATTCAGTTATATCACATTCACATGAGCTTGTATTTAAGTCACGATTGTCTTACAATATAGACTTAAAAACAATAAAGACTATATGCAGTAGCATTAAAAATAAACTATCTGACACAAAAAACGTAATTCATCCATTAGAATATTGTCTTGATTATATATATTGCATCATACCATACATAACTGTCACATCACAGTGTACATTTTGTATACCAACATAAATTTTTGGCAATAAAATTAAATTATTTTAAATTTAAAAATTATTATAAGCACTTGTGGATTATATCAAAAAAACTAGATCATGGTTGAAGCAAAAGCTCTTTGAACTAGATTGTTTCATAGTTCCATCACAGTTCAACTTTTCAACACTCAACTTCAAATATTGAATCATCGGATTGTTCAATGTTCAAAGTCTATCATCTTAGTTCTAGAAGTCCTACATACAATATTGAACTTAACGGTAAAAAAGACATGTTGAATACAAGGGACGCTAATTGTACAAAATAGTCTAAGTGTTGGGCTCATTTTTAATTTTAAATGTCTAACTAATAAGGCAATTTTTACAAAAGATGTGAATATATCTTTAATAGATATTCAGATATGCATTAATTATATTAGAGTTTACGCATTTTAATACGGTTGAAATTTTTTTATAAATATACCAAAACAATTATTACAAAAAGATCATAAAACACAATAACTAAAAATATGAAGATATTATAAACATCAATATATAGATCTTGTACAGAATTTTTAGATTTAAAAAAGTGATTGGAGTTTTGGTTGAATTTTTATCAATTTAGAATGCCAAATTTCTTTCTTTAATTATGAAAAATATTTAAATTTTTTAGATAATAAAAATAGATATAAATTTTATTTAAAATCTTTGTTTCTATTAATTTTTTAATTTATCTTAAATGAAATAAAATAATTTTTTTACAAAAAAATTTTAACATCTATTAAGAAAAATTAAAATTATGTTAAAAATCTAAATTATAAGTTAAAACTTGAATCATATAAAAAAATTAATAAAAATTTTTGATTGAAATATTTGCATGAGGATTTTATATGTAGAAAAAAATGTTGAACGTTGTTTACTTTGTAAAAGAAAAAAAATTATTTTTTATTTAACATATGATATATTGAAGTACAATGTATGTACAATTTTTAAAAATAAATTGATTAATATATCAATGATCTATTTAAAAAATTTATAAATTAAATTTTTATCTTTTATACATATTGATTTTTTTTATCTAAAACTGAATTGAGTTATTTCAAAGAGCATGTATATTTTTTTAAAGTAAATTTCATAAAAAAAATTGTAAGATGAAATTTTAAATATATTTTTGGAATGAAACCTAGAGATCATATAAGTCAAACAATAGAGTTTACGCACAAAATATGTGGTTTACCTCAATGATGCTACATTAATAGCTAGATACAAGATAGCTCGAGTGAAATGATACAAATTTGTGTAAGAAATAAATTGGCTCTTTCTTTTAAATATCGCAAAATAAAATCTTTAATCAATTATAGTTAAATGTAAACCTAATCAAGATATTTATAATTCATAACAGAATTTGATTCTTTCAACTATTGAATTTAAAAAAAAATAACACTATCCTTAAAAGTATAAAACAATTGGAATAATCAAAAAATCTTATCAAACACAATGTAATGTGTTTTTTTAACAAAATTCATGGCATAATTAAAATGGATGAAAAAACTTATTTGTAGATAATTAATGTATATTATAGAAAGCTAAATAGTAACTTACACAAGATTCTTTAAAACAATTCCACTTGGTGATCCAAAGCATGAATATCTATGAAGATTGTAAATTATACGTATAAGATTGTTATAATAGTTTGTTTTCCTGAAAAGTTGGAAACCCATAAGGTAGTATTAATCTTGTAGCTTACAAGTTTCGTAAGGTTATGTGAACTAAACCGTATTCTTTTTGTTACCTCATAGAATATTCTTTATCTAATGTACAAAGATACGTAAGTATTTTATGCTTTGTCAATTCATGAAATAGAAATGGAATGAGATCAACATGTGCATAACCTCTCATTAGATTTAAGCATGAAACTATCTCTCTAATTTGAATTTGAAATTGAAACTTTATCACGATGTAATTGGATGCTGTACTCCTCGCACAAACATTGGGGATGCAAAATTTTGTATCTTACATTATTAAAAAAACATTTAAATTAAGAAATAAGTAAATCTTTTCACTTTTCAAATATATGTTCTATTTAAATTTAACAAAGAATCTATGATTGTGTGATTAGCTTCTACTTTACATTTACATCATGTGATGATGATCTCATCATCACATGACGACAGGGACCGTTCTATGGTATCCATAAAGTAAAGCATCTTTAAAAAAAAAAAGGTTCACTTGTGCAGAGTTTTTCACCATAAGATGAATATTTTCTTGAAACATGGATTATTTTCCAAAAAAATACTGCTTACAGACGTCAACAAGGATATTTGTTAGAGGTGAGCGTTAGAGTGAATTGCGCATCATAGCGCCCTTGATTTCCCTAAGAATTTTGATGCATTTTTGGAAACCCCGCATTGTGTCAGAAAAGCTTTGCATATTACGTTCTAAGGTCGGGGTCTCGATACTTCTAACTCCACATGATTTTTGTCGGTGGTGGTTTCTTTGATTGTCTAGTTTGTCATTGCATTAGCTACACGTGTACACGAGAGCATTCCTCGCTAGCCTCGGTCTACTTGACGCGAGCCAAAGTCTGAGACAGAATGAGGTAGACGACATCTGCACATCTATATAATTTTCTTTTTTTAAGTGTGTCTGTGTTTTTCCCGTTTTGGTCTCAACTAAATGAACAGTTTTTTGTCACTGTTTGTACTCAATCCTGAACAGATGCAGTGACGTTTCAAGAACAAATATCGATATCCGGAGGATTGGATTAAGCAGTTGTGGGATTCTCGCTCGCCCTTGACATCTGACTGCTCTAGACTTGTGCAGGAGAACGCGAATAGAGAGAAGCGGTCACTCGTCAATTCTGCCATTGCCAAGTAAATACGCCCTCAGTTGAAGTTTCTTCTTACAATTTAATTTTCCTCAGGCATGTGTTTGTTTTCTTAAATTCATCAAGGAAGCCATCAGATTAGTCACACATTCTTACCTA